CGCCTGGGTGCCGGCCTCTGCAGGCCGCGGGGGAGGCCGGGGTGCTCGGCAGCGCCGCAGGACCGTTCTAGGGAGCTCCTGCGCCTCCTACGTTAGTAGCAATAGTGGTGGCTCTCAAGTAGACCAGGTTAGTTGGGACAGTTACCTGAACGCTCTGTGGTTTCGTTGCAGTCAGAGTATTTTTCTCCTTGCTTCTCGTTCGTTGTACACCAGTGGTGGCACAAGAGACACTTTTTTTGCCAACTTCTCACTGAAATACGTTCATTTGGAAAACTGATGAACATTTTTTACTGGCTTCGCCTTCATGGTTTAGGTGGCGTAAGACAAAGCGAGTAGGGAGTGTTTGGCTTACCTCTCGTATCCCAGAGTTCTACCCTTGGGACCCCTAAAACCCATGTGTGTGAGCAGAAACTGAGCGTCAAGGCAAACCTTATTTTGCTTGCAGAGAGAGGTGATGAGGCAGGCAGCATCAGGTCAGCAGAAGTTACCAGTAATTGGTGGTGTTTCATGCATGGTTGTCTGTTGCTACCAGTTCATTTATTCTCCAGGATGCTTCCTTCTCTTTGCTGACCTCACTTGTGTTTGACTTTGAAATGTATTTCAACTCGACCACTTACCTTTTCCACCTAAGACTGGATGGAAAAAGGGTCAGGGAATAGGCAAGGGAGACTAAAAGTTGAATTTTGGGCCTGCTGGATGTTGATTTCCATAGCCTAGGGGATAATGATTTATTGCCAAAATAACGTGCATAAAACAAAGCAGGGAAGGGAGGATGGGGAATTATCACAAAATCATAAATCACACGTTCTAGAAGTTGTGCAAGCATTGAAATAAAAACATTCTTTTAAGTGCATGCCCTGCATCTGGTTTTGTAGCCAAGCCATGGGTCCGTTTGGTTCAGGTTTATGGATCTGCAGGAGTACAGGCTGGTATCCAAAACAGCTTTAAAGTGTGAGTTGAAGCTGGGTGTAAGGGAGCATTCTTCAACTTAAATTTCAGAGATGATTTTAGCTAAGAAACTCATAGTTGGCTGCATTGAGGTTTGGTGGAGGGTGCTGCACTAACTTAAACTGCCTCATAACCAGTCTTGGTTTCGCATTCATTGAAATAAAGATGCCATTCTGGTAAGACAGTGGCTCATACTGCTGAGCTGAACACTTATTTGGGAGTGCCTGTGGAGTAAGAAGCTCACTGTACTAGAAAATGGAAAGCCCTTTCCCACCAGTTCTTCCATAGTTGTCTCCCATACAAACAGCAATATGGCCTTCTGCCCAGAACTACATGCGGAGGACCTAGGTAGTGAGAGAGCATTATCTGGCCTTTCAGGGTAGCTAATTTAGTTCTTTCCTAATTTTTATGAAGAAAACCACAAATCGGTTATTTGTTCTTGCTATCAAAACAAGAGCAGGTTGAGAAGTGACTGTTACTAGTTGAGAACTGCTTGAATTCAGAATTGGTGATCTCAGAAAAAACACAAATATCCCTCCCTCCAAAATAAAACAAACAAATAAAACCCCCAAACAAATAATCACCAAAAAAACCCCCAAAAGTACTGTCTTAGTAAATCCAATAGAGTCACCAGATGGAATGACTTTTTGGGGGAGTGGGGGAAACATGTTTCAAATTGGATTCCATCAACCAAGTATGATTAATCACTTCCATTTGTTTGTTTTGAAACAAACTACCTGTGGTATTAAGCTAAGGTTTCCAGTCAAGAAAAGAAGAGGGGGTTTCTTTGGGTTTTTTTTTGTTACTGCTTGTCACTATCTGATAGTTGGATATGTGGAGATTCTTTGTGATCCCGCCAGGGCAAAACAAAGATTATACAACTTCAGCTGCATAAGGCAGGCAGATTGGGTGCAGATCAGCTGGTAAGAGTCATTTATTTGTCATAAGCTCATACTAGAGATGATAACTAACTGTAAACTACAAAAGAGAAAGATCAGGAAAGGAAAAAAGAGGTTAAGGGAAGTCACCACCCAGAGTTCCAGCGGCGTCCTGTTGGTCTTCTTGTCTCATAGTAGAAGAGCTGGTGGTGGTCTGATCTTAGCAGGCCACTTGAGGCTGGTGCTCTCCTCCTTTACACAGTTAATTCCTGGGATGCACCACAGCTTATTTGAATCTTAGCATAAAAGGTATATGACTAAGGCTTCTTAATTCTTAGTGTGTATACTTTTTCATTTAAAAAAGAAAAAAAAAAAGGACGCTTTAGTTTAATCCATGTGGTCTGCCACAGGAGTGTGTTGTGGAAGGGATTTCAAGGGAAAGACGACTCATTTTTGGCATGCTAAAACTGAGCAGTAGATTAGCTTCAAAGTCTTGGTAGTTTGCTTTGTGAGGTATAAAGATGTGGCATTTCTTTTCATGCACATTTAATTAAGTACTGATGTCTGCTGAGTGGAATAAATAGAGTTGGAATAAAATAAGTTTGATTACATTGTTTTTCCAGATTTGAAGGCTAGAGTCAGTGTCACAACTTTTGGTACCACAATGGCTGTGTACAAAGCATTTTGCTTTAGCACAGAATTGTCCGTTTTGCTCTAAGTAAAACAATGGAAATTGTTGATTCCAAGTCAGGAGACAAATTGTAGTTGTGTAGAATCTGTGCTGCTTCTTGTTTAAGAAACCACTGGAATTAACAGCACTGTACTATCTGCCAGCAAGAAGAAAGTCATGGTATTTTAGAAACGCACCAATTTCGGCAACTACATGCACTGTTATCTCATCCTAAGTGCACAGGATGAAGAGCTGTCTTACATAGACAGCCTCACAGGAGAGCTCTGTTCAATGTAAGACTGTTCATTTAAATTTTTTGTGATACGTGCTCTGGAGTGCTGTGAGGATGGGGCAATAAGTTTGTGTTCTGTTCACAGGTGCTGTCTGCTGCCCATGGCTTTCAGGGATGTGAATGCAAGAAGACATATTGGACTTCAGCAACTGTCATCCTTAGCATCAGCTGGAAGAACCTTACTGGGGCCAGTGAAATCATGTAAATTCATTGTGGATGAAAGCACCAACCAAAGCACATTGATTTGTTCTGCTGTTAGACTGATTGAAAATTTGGATTTAACTAGTGCTGCTGGACAGCTTCTTAATGAAACCATTCAGGCTCAAAACAAGGAGTTTAAGACTGGGATGAGTACTCTATTGTTTCTTGTTGGTGCATGGAGCAAGGCTGTACTGGAGTGCCTCGAGCAGAACGTTCCTATTTCAGCAATAGTCTCTGTGATGTCTGAGGGCTTGAACTCTTGCTGTGAGAGAGTCCAGTGTCTCCAAATATCAATAGATGATGTAAATAAAGAGCTGTGTTCTGGCAGTGTTGGGCCAAACACTCTTAAAAGCAAAACTTGCCAAATCGGATGTGACAGTCTTCTAAATGCTCAGATTTTTTTCTATTTTCAGAAAGGTATTTCTGTACCAGAAGAAGCAATTCCAATAAATTCTTCTTCCAGTCAAGTTGGTGACTGTAATTTTAACAAGTGTCTGGTTTCACCTTTGGTTGGTGAAATAGCTTCACTTGTCAAACCAGCAGGTGACAAAAGTACTTCTGTGATTTCTGGAAGTGGTGCTATAGCATCCAGCTGTAACAAACAGAAGTTTGCCCATAGCAGATACTTCAGCACTCTAGGAAGAAGCAATTTTTCAAGTCGGCAAGGTAGTTTTCAGGAATACTTTTCAGGACAGTCAGCAGATCCATGTGAATGTTATGGTTTAGGACACCTGGCAATGGCGCTGAGCCCTGGCAATCAGACTAGCATGAAGCTGCTACAAAGCGTTGTTGTGCATCAAAGAGAGAGAGCAGAATCCAGTGGGTCTTCCCAGTTTAATATTGCAGAAATTGTGACATGCTGTTTAGTGGGCCTGCCTGAAAGCTATTCTTGCGTCTCCCCAGGCTTTGTTACGTTAGTGTCACCAGAACAAGCCACAGTTATCAAATACTTGGAAGACAAACCCCTTCAGATTCTGCTAATGGACGGTGACCTAACTGAACAATATCGTCACTTAGGTTTTAATACACCTTCTAATATAAGGACCATATTAGAGCATCCTAACCTACAGGATGGCAGAGTCAGAGACTCATGGCTAAGCAGCATGTTAGATATTCTGATAAGGTTTGAAGTAAACTTGGTCTTGGTCAAAGGAAAAGTGTGTGAAAACTTAATGGCAAGATGCATAGCAGATGGTATACTGGTAATTGGTTCTGTGACGTGGAATGTGTTGTGTGCCTTTAGGCAGGCCACTGGTGCCCAGCTAGTGACATACCTTACCCAGTTGAATCCTTCTTGTGTAGGTAGTGGGGCCCAGGCAGAGCTGTGGAAGGCCTGTGATGGGCGTGCGATGGATTTGGGTGAGCTTGTGCCAATCAGGATAAAAATGCAAGACATTCCCCTGCTCACGGCTGTGCTTTCCACTACTGTAGCTTCAAAGATGCAGCTCATTGAAGACCAGTTCTGGACATCAGTGTATCGACTCCATCATGCTTTGAATGACAAGAAGGTTTTTCTCGGTGGTGGTGCAGTAGAGCTCTTGTGCCTTAGTCATGTTCAGACACTCATGGAACGGCCTTTAGAGGCAGCAAATAAAAATGCTGTGAAAGACTTTCACAGTCCTTGGCTGGCAGCACCTGTGGCAGAGTATAAATCAGTTGTGCTCCAAGCATTAGCAAGCGGCTGGAAGCAGTATCTTTCAGTGGTTATGTGTAACACTGCAAAAGCAGCTTCGGAGTTGGAAGCATGTACCTCAATTGATCATCACCTCAAAAAAGCAGCTGACTGTGGCTGTCCCTCAGCATATATATTGCAAGAGTTTAGAAGAGGCAATCTGCTCAAGGGTAGTTCTGGTCCCTTCCCTGACCTTGGAGAGGTTTTAAAGGTTTATAATAATGTTACAGCCAAGACAGAAGCATGGTGGAGAGCTCTAAACTTGGTGCTACTAGTGCTTCAAACAGATACCGAGATTATAACAGGTCCCAAGAGAAATCAACTATTGAACTCACATGTCTTGAGTGATTTTATGTTTTTATAGGGCTTGCTTTTATTTATATGAGTCAGTGAAAGAAGTTCATGTGCAACCTACATTTCTGCGTAGTTTATGAAGCAAACATTTAAGTGAGATTATGACTTCAGAGTGTGACAGCGGAAATCAGAACGTGAGACAGTCACAAGGTAGATATAATTTCCCATTTTTAGAAACAGGAGTTAAATAACAAACAAAAATCACTTGTGATCTTACCTTTAACCCCAACTGTGCATTTCTAACCAATCACATTGTATGGACGGATTAATCCAGAAAAACTTGACTTCTTTAATCTTACTTAGCAGAGCAGATACGCAGTTGTATTTCTTGTTAAGAGGAGCAGCACTAGGCAGGTGGGTATGCACTGAGTCAAGTTGGAGAAAAGTTTGATACCTTGGATATGCTTGTGTTCTGAATGTGTGCTGTCTGTACAAGGTATTAGGATTTGTTTTCTGTAAACTATTCTTTGTTTAACATATTCTAATGTCTTCTAAAGAAGAGTGGGGATTTGTTACGTAACATTGGCATACATGTGTTAAATAAAATGTATAAAACGTAATTATTTTTTCATTAATATCTTGCTCTTAGTTTCTGTACATTGCAAATGTAAGAGTTAAACTTGCAGCAATTTATGAGTGTTACGTTTTGTGCTAAGAGATTGTATTAGTAGATTCTACTTTTGCATATTTATTATGGGCCATATATCTCCTATTTTCATATATATACCCTTTGGATTATGTCTTGTTTTGGCATAAATTCAGGCTTAATCCTCCCCTTTGGCATTATAGAATGGATGTATCTTTACACAAAGTTTTCTTTTACATCAGGATTGGGATTTTTAGATTATTTCCTTTGGACTCCTTCAGTTATTCTTGCAGTGAGAAAGGTGTTTTATGTTTTAGCTGTTGGCTAAAAACTGAAAATTAATCTATCATGATTGAGGCAAGGCATTTTTACTGTGTTTCAGCACTCAAAATTTGAAAGCCAAGCCATGGAGAACTGACACTTTGATGCAAGAAAGAGGTGTGTAACTGTGGAGATATTTTTTCTGAAATTTGAATTCTGAATCACTCTTAAAGTGAAATGTCTAATCAGTCCAGTGAAAACAGAATGGAAAATGATGGAAATAGTACCAGAGCGGATTCATGATTTTAGGAACTTTCTGATTAAAGTGCTAATGGCTGGCAGTACTTTGGGTGAGGACTTACTCTTGGTGATTGGTGGTGATGATGGCAGACAGTTCTGTGGTCAAAGCTAAGAACTGGGATGGGCTAAAGAATCGTGCTTCAGTGGAAAGGCAGACAAAAACCTAGTGCTTATTTTACTGTAAGAACCTTCACTGCTACTTATTTACCATTTGAAGTGGCTGGTTTTTCTTTTGGGCTTACTCTTCTTGTGGTATCTCCCCATTGCAGAAAATGTCTCAGAGAAGAGCCATCGGCTGCATCAAACCCCTGTGACCACTGGCAGTCCTCTAGTTGACTTGTACTGAGCCTTTACACAGTTCTCTGCCTCTGTTCCCTATTGGAAATGCTTATTGCTCCTGGGAATGCCCTTTCCCTCTTCCTTTGCATTTCACAGTGCCTAATTCCAGAGGGCTTGAGTTAACGAAAAGGACAGTTCCTAAAATGCCTCCCCCAACACTTCGGCATTATATTCCATTGTATTTGTCAGTAGGTATTTGACAGTATCTGATACTTCCTACCTCCTTCAAGTTCCTAAAGTTTTTTTTCCTTCCTTTGATGTCTTCATTCCCCATAACATACAAGTGCATAGTCTGTGCTGCATTCTGCTAAAATAGCCTTTTTGAGGCTTCCTTACAGCTTATGGGTCTCCATAGCTGGGAGTTCCCTGGAAACATGTGGTAGGTTACTGAGGTTATAAATTAACCCTAAGCATGAGATGAAATTGGGACCCTTGGAAGCAGTTTTTGCTGAACTGACCAGATACCATAACTTCATTTTTTATGAAGGAAAGAATCCATCTAAATGCATTTTATCCTGGGGCTTTCTTCTATGCTAATATATATTGTTTCAAATTATAAACTCATGTCTTTCATAGAGCTGTTTACCCAAGTAGTTCCACTAGGTGAATAATGGGTATATTTGGTATACAAGGAAAAGAAAAACACAGATAACAAAATTTATCCTCAAATATGGTTTAGATACATATAGGCATGTATGTGTTTGTATTAATATAGTATATTTCAAAGTTTCATTCAGAGTTCTCATTGGTGAATTGTATATTTTTATTTTTATATTTGTATTCTACTCACATGTAACTGGAAGGCTTTTCAGGAGGTTAAGGGAGCATATGAATACCAATTGCATTTTAGAAATATGGGAGAAAACTTTTCTGTGTGTCAAGAGCTATGCTTATAGCATTTAGCCATCTCTGACCTGAAATTATAAATATTTTAGGTTTCTAACAAACTCTAGATTTCCATGGGTTTTGGCAAAATCTCATCAGTAGAATAGAGGTTTATAATTTTAATTTGAAACAGTAGTTCGTAGCTGTATAAAGATCAAGTTAGATCTAGTAAAGATTTTGGTATATCAAAAGAGACAAAAGAAGCTAGTGACTCTGATTAGGTGAGAAAGAAATGGAAACCCAGCATATAAATAAATATAAACAAACTCTGCTGCTCTGCAAGTGTGCACAGCTCATGTTTGGCTTTATACTGTTTTTCCTGAACCTTCTGTACTGAGCATTGCATAAATCCTGTTCCCAAGAAAAGATCCAGTTGTACTTCATTTGAATAATAGAATTAAGTGGATTATGGAAAAACTGCCCACATGAATTGTGTTGAGGTGGTCCAAACATCTATTTATAGGGCTCTTAGACATGCGAGCTGACGCACCAAATGTTGAGAAAATCCAAAATGATATAATTTTTCCAATCAGGCTTTAAAAAAGTACGTAACGATATATTTAAGTATTGTGATGCAGAGGTTTTCTAAAAAGCTGTTAGACATTATATTTTGATTATTTAACACTGACATTTATACAGGCCAACAAAACAGAACATTTTATAAACTAGCTAGTTATTGAATCATGGATTGCTTAAAATTATTTCTTTGACATGCATAGAAGATGAAGATGGGTGCTGTCCTGACGGCATACTACTCCTGCAGTGGTGAAATACAATATCCACATGCGGCTTTCTCAGCTTCGGATCTCTCAAACCTCTTTGCAACATAGAATGAGGTCCTGTGGATGTCTCCCATGGCTCCCAGGACAGGGAATTATTTCCACAACTGCCACAGGGGCAATTTCAGCTACTTCAGGGCAGAGGCTCCTCCTAGGGTACACAGGGGCTCTTTGTGTACAGTATGCTGTGATGGAAGACTTCTAAGCTTTTACATTTGATGTGCCTGGGAAATTGGGAAATAGCATAGATCTTAGGGAAGGGATTTATCCCAAGGAGTAGTCAGTGTCTCACTCTGCTGAAACCCTGTCCTAGTCAGGTGCCTTATTCCTCCCTTGCATCCCAGTATCATTGTTTCCAGCTCACTCCTTTTTTTTTAGGGCTGACGCAATTTTATTTAATGTTTATGTAAGGCTAACTTTATAGGCTTCTTCATGATTTCCTTAAGTGTAGTTGAGGTCTTAATCGTAGCAACAAGACCCTCATACCAAGCTGAGCGAGTCTATAGGGCACAGCTTGCTTGCAAATTCTGTCCCACAAGGACTGATAGCCTGATGCTCAGTGGTGGTCGAGAAAGATCGGATGGTTTGCCTGCTACCCAGCATGCTGAAAAAAATGAGCTAGGAAATGTAAAAGGCAGTGGTCCCTGGAGGCAAGCCAAGAAATTACTGTGGGAGGGTGGAGGCTGGAGGCTGGGCAGTTTAAGGTAGAAAAGGAACAGAAAGGGCTGAAAACCTGAGCTTACAAGAGAGCTGTGAGAATTGAGGTAGTTTATTTATAATGACGTCCTTTTGATATCCCAGGTCAGAGCTGCTGAAGAGGCAGAAGGACATTTCACTTATTTTTTTAGGGGAGGGAGGTGGAGAGAGGGATCTAATCTAGAAAAGTTAGAGAGTGACATGAGATTTTCAGCTCTGCTCGCAAGGACAAAGTGACTGGTAGACCTAAGTTATCCCATCAGGTGAAGGAGAACTGATGCAGAAGATCCATCTCTACCATGAGAGGCAAGGGGAGACAAGGGTGGGCTACAAGAAGGCTAACAATCTGCATTTTGTGTGTTGGGTGAATGAAGTAAACCCCTGACCCTCACAGAAATATGCCCATGCTGAATCTGAGTTATCCCGTGCTTCAAGCGTTTGTCACCCTCACTCCGTCACTTCCTGTATTTTGTGATAAAATCGGAGCTTTCCTGAAGCCAAATTCTACTTGTGTGTATCAGTTGACATAACCACAGGTATAACAGAGGTAGGAATGTGGCATGGAGTATTAGCTAGTAAGAAATCAGTGAGGTGTGTTTTAGCTGTACCATTGAAGTTGCTTTTCCAGCTGTATTCCTCTAGTCTTTACCGTGCAAGTAGCACATCAGAGGTTACTGGAAGGTTTGTTGCGTGTGTTGCAAAGCCCAGTTTTCTGGAGTTAGTGTCAATGTTGTCTGGCTCCCCTCCATGCAGTGGGAACCTTTCCTTGCATTTCTTCTCAGTATTTGAAGAGAAATTTCATTGTCCCAGTAAAAAGATTTAGCTTTAATCACAAAGGCAGAAGGAAGTCTTGATTACAGAGTTTTCCCCAAGGCTTATGTCTACTGTAAATTAACCCATTAGCATTTGCAGAAGTTTCATTAGTTTCTTTGCCTTGCAACAGCACAGTGGGTAAAAAAAAGAAAGAGCAAAGGAAAGAGAAGCAGGATAGGCTATCTCAGATGACTTGTGCTGGGGCTCCCTCTCATCCCTTTGGACCTTCTCTCTAAATTCTCAAGTGGAAAGTTTGAAGTAAGAATAAATCATATTTGTGCCTATTTTTAGCGAAGGATGTGTGTGACTGCAGCCAGGCTGAATGTGGTACTGGGGCGTGGAGCAGCCTGG